CTCTTCCGAACCGAGATTAAGCTTCCTTATAGATTCCTTTTTTTCATAATGCTTTGAAATTTTAAAGCCCCATCAAAGGTCTCAACACCTGAACATATCCATTAGGCCCAAGACAGACAGACAGACAGACAGACAGACGGAAAGCCTTTCTCCCAATCTGGGCTGAGGTGCTTAGAGCACAGGTCTCTCTTCGTCCTTCCATGTCTCGGCATCTCCTATAACGAACCCTCTGCACAGAGCCTTATCCAGAGTGAGCACGAGGGAGCCATTAAGTGAGTCTTGCACACTACAGCGTAAGCTTCTAGAGCAAGGCATCCCTGCCAGCTTCTAAAATGCAGCCACCTCTCCACTGGACCTAATGCTCAAGATTCCAACACTCATCCCTGCCAGGTCATGATCACAGACCAAACCCACAAAGCCCGCCATATAACCAGCTGGAAAGGATGCGCATGCTGCACACACAATAGTTAACCTTAATTTGCCAGACAGGGAAGAAGAGGTTCCTCTTCAGACCGGTATCCCTTTCACGGCCTTACCTTGGTGTTTTCATACTTTTCAGAGGACGGATGATAAGGTGGAATAGACCAGCTATATGGAGAGTCGTCACTATGATTGGAAGATACTCCTTGAGGGGGAAAAAGAAGGAAAGTCATTAAATAAAGCATGGCGAGTCCTTCAATGCCCTCCCCCACCAAAATGTACACGTTGTACACAACTGGGAAAGGCCCATCCCCTTCTTTTGGCCTCAGTTTCCTCATCTATAAAATCAGGAGCCTAGGCCAGATGATGAGAAGTCCCCACGAAAACCGACCCTCTGGGCTTCTATCTGAGTACTGAGCCCCTGACCCGGCCCCAAAGAGCCCTTGCTGGCACCTCTCCCCACCCTACAAAGGAGGCGGCAGAGGCAGGGGCACAACCATGGCTGGCTGGGCAAGGGGAGGCTCCGCAAAGGGGGGTGCTTTGCCGGATGCCAACCAGACACAAGACAAGGGGGCCTGGGTTCGAACCCATGACACTGCCTTAGGACGCCAGGTTCAGTGCTCTCTCATGACGCAGAAACCCACCCGTTTACAGTCTACCTGGGAAGACAAAATAACAACGTGTGACACCGAGGAAGGACTGCCAGCCGTCTGGAGAGGAGAAGTGCTGTGTGAGTGAGGGAGCCCCGGGCACAGAGGGGACGTAGGTCCGGGGAGGGCTGGCAGCGAGGGCTCTGGAAGGAGGAACCGCCTGTGCAGATGAGCCGGGAGGAGCTGAGAGGGTAGCGTGGGCAGCGCCACGGGAGAAGGGCGTCGCCAGCATGGGGACACACGGGGACTCCAATGACAAGCACCTGGCCAGGCAGAACTGGAGGCAAAGGGGCAGCGGGCGGAGGGCTTCTCAACCCCACAGGCACAGTGGAAGCGCAGAGCGGGCTGACAGACCTGGTCCAAACCCCCGCGCTGCCCCACGTGCCCGGGCAGTCTCGGGCACGCTCTGCGAGCCTCCGTTTCCTCCTCGGGAAATGACGCCGATGAAAAACCCACCTTGCCTGCTGCTGGGGAGAGGATTACGGGAGCAGCTGGCACAGCATCCAGCGGGCGCCTGGCACTCAATCAATGGTGGCTGCTGTCAGCCTCAAGCAGGCCGCTCCCCGACACAACAGGGTCTTGAGAACAAAGACCCGCTTGAAAAATGTGTCTCCAGGAGGGCTGCAGGCCAAATGTTTGCTCTCGGGCTAAGACAACCCCACAGTCTAATTATCAGGGGTAAGGAGGCCAGGCGCCACCCCTCGGGCCTCCTCAGGCCTCCCTTCCTGAGGCACGATCTCCCCTCTGCTGTGTTTGCTCCTTTCGTCTCTCCCTCCAGCTGTGCTCAGGCCAGAGTGTCAAGATGTGAGCACCAACTGCAGAAAGTTCTACTTGCACTTGCTGGCGACCTTTTGGCCGCACAGCCTGACAGATCTGCCTTCCAAACTGGGCCAAACTGGGCCCAACTTTGCGGCCCCTCGTGATAAGCGCTTCTCGGGACAGAGCTCGGGCTCTCAAGGCACCCCCCCCCACACACACACACACACGCTGCCTTGGGATCCTCCCCTGGGAAGGGAATCAAGGCAGCTGCCACTCCAGCTTCCCAGAGGAGGAATCGGAGGCTCGAAGAGGTTGAATGATTTGCCCCAGGTCCAATGCACACCTAAGAAGTGGCAGAACTGGGACTAGAACCCAGGGGCCGGCATTCCCGGTGCCACTGCCCATCAGCGGTTCACTCTGCCTCCAGAGGTGCTCATGCCGGCGGAATGCGGCACAGAGGAGACCTGAAAACAAGTGGGACTAAACTACAGTACACGTCTCTGTTAGACCACTGTGCTGCCATTAAAAACGACGGCACGAAGAGTCACCACGCGGGAAAATGTTTATGTCTAAAACACTCACAATATAGCTGCACGTCACTGGTGGTATAGTGGTGAGCACAGCTGCCTTCCACAATAGAAAGTTGTATATCCAGGACAATCTCAAATCAGAAAAATAACATGCCCAGAACCAGGGGACATCACCACAATACAGCTCTCCTTAGTGGTGCAAATACAAGCAATTTATACTCTTTTTTTTTTTTTCTCTTTTCTGCCGCGCTGCACAGCTTGCGGGGTCTTAGCTCCTGACCAGGGATTTAACCCGGGCCCTCAGCCGTGAAAGTGCTGAGTCCTAACCACTGGACTGCCAGGGAATTCCCAATTTATATTCTTTAGTTTATACTTCCCTTTTTGTCCCCCAACTTTCTGTCAAATAATCATGCCTTACTTCAAGTTAAAAACAAAAAAGTTTTAAACTCTCTGCTTCAGCATTCTCATTCTGGCGTTAAAGAGAGCCAGTTTAGCTGGCAGTGTTGAAGGTCAGGACTGGGTGGCCCCTGGCACCCTAGAGACCCTGGGTACCAGCTTACCCTCCTCTTTCTGACCTAATTCACAGACAGCGGGCAGGCAACCCCTGCCAAATTACAGCCTCTTCACTGGGCAAGTCAGCAGAGCTACCCTGGTCTCACTTCACTGCCAGGGACCCCGGGTTACAGGGGGTCAGGCGCAGAGCTGGACTCCCAGCCAACACTCCCCCTCCCCCGCAGCCAGTGCCCTTCCTTCCCCCCACGCAGCCAAAGGAACCAAACAGCACCGTGACTAGTTTCCAAAAGGAAGAAAAAGCCCTTCTACCCTTTTCCACTTTTGGTGAGAACACAAAGCCAAGCTGAGAGGTAATATCCTGCACAAAGGTGGCAGCGACTAACCAGGCGTCCACCGAGCCCCAGCCCCAGGAGGGGACCCCCGTCCTCAGACACGAAAATGGAGAGAGTCCAGACTCGGAGGGGCAAGCAGTACCAGGATGAAAGACTTTTCCAACAGACATGGTCACGTAGCCATTCTCCTTGAAGTACTGGGGGATGGTGGAAAAGTTGCCAGAGTGCGCCCTCCAGTAGGAGTTGAAGTCATACAGGCGGGTAGTGTCTGGTCTCCTCCCGGTGAGCAAGGACACGCGGCTCGGGGCGCACACGGCTTGCTGGTAGGGAGCAGAAGCAGAGGGACACGTCCTCAGAGGAAAACAAAGTCTGGGAGCTAAAAGGTAACCAGGCAACCTCCCAGGTCCTCGGCTAACAGCTTGGCGGCTGAGTCATGCAGATCTCAAAGCCAACCAGCAGGATTTGGGCCTCACCCAGCCACCAGCAAGAAGTCTTCCCCGAGAGAGAAAGGCCCCAGCCCCTCCATCCAGCAGATGACTGTGTCGTTCTGCATGATGGCGTCTCACGTGTGCCCGGGGCAGGCAAAGGTCCAGGGAGCGGCCCCATGAAGGGGCACAGGAAGGAGGGCCGCTGTGGCAGCATCCCCTCCTTCTCAGCACCAGGCAACCTCCAGTTGGGGGAAGAAAGGTGGGCAGGACCAGCCTGAACACAGTATACCAGGACACACCCTCCACCCAAGGAGAAGCACCCCTGAAAGGCACAAGCTTCCTTGTCAGTGGACAACCAGGTTTTCTCAGCCGCCATTTTCCAAACTGTGCTCCCCCCTACTAAAGAGATGCCTGGCACAATGAGTACCATCCCCCAACCCTCAGTGCACGAGGCACACACCCACACCCAGAGGTGCCCAGACATACCTGGGCAAAGGCATTCTGGAAGAGGAGGCTGCGGGAGGCCAGCTGGTCCATGTTTGGGGACCTTATGAGCTTGTCCCCGTAACAACCCAGGGAGGGGCGTAGGTCATCCACGATGATTAAAAGGACATTCAGAGCATCTGCACAGGTAGGAGGGGCTTCAGTGAGATCACCGGCACTGACACCCAACCCCCACCCGGGGTAGGTGCTAGGGCACCCAGAGGTCCAAGGCTGGCCCCAGCACCTTGACAACCCAGCCAGCTACGCCAGGGAGGGTGGGAGTGGGCGCACAGAAGAAGCCCCAGTCCGGGGTGGCAGGGTTAGGCTTTGGCCATGGCCTCAAGCCTGGATGAGGGAGGGAGAGAAAAAAGAGGGAGGGAGGGAAGGACGGTGGGTGGGTGGCAGGGAGGGAAGGGAGGAAGGATCGATGGAAGAAGGAATGGTAGGAGGGAGGGAGCGAGGGAGTTAAGCATGGAGGTAGGCAGGGAAGTAGGGAGGGAGCCCCGCAATGTGGGCGAGGGCGCCGGAGGCACCTGTGGCCGAGTTGCCCAGCGCCGCGGATCCGACGGAGCCCAGGACCAGGCCAAGCCAGAGCAGGCCCCCGCCTGGCGGCAGCATTTTTGCCCCGGCGCGGCCGCTCCGGGGCGACGATGACAGGTTTTGGCAGGAGAGCAGGGCCGCCCCCGCCGCCTGTCGCGCGTCGTAAACCCGGGCACCCTGCCTGACGCGGCCGCAGCCGGCCGCAGAGGCCGGCGCCCCGGCCCCCCCCTCCCCCGGAGCGCGAGTGCGCCTGCGCGAGATCCGGGCCACAGGGGGCGGAGCCGAGGCTCCCGCGCAGCGCCTGCCCCGCCCACCGGGCCGACTCACTGGTTGGGGCGCGCCTCCCCCGTCGGGCAGGTACTTGGGGAGTCTTCCCGGGTGTCTCCAAAGATTTGCTTTGCAACCAGTGTCCTCAACCAGCAGTTTCCCGCCACTTTGCCTTTGCTCGTGCTATGCGTTTCACCTGGAGGCCCTTCCCTTCCCTCTTCTCTCTATAAAAGTCATACTTTTCCTTGCAGACCAGCCCAAATGCCATTCTCCTTCCATGAGGCCCTTTGAGAACTCGCCTTCCTGCATCTAAAGGGACCCCTCTCCTATGCATTTGTTCAACAAATACTTATTAAGTACATCAGATATGTATACCGAGCACTGTTGGCAGCTTGGGAGTTCTGGCGGCTGGGAGTTCTAAGTTCCTTCCCTTGTGGAGCTTGTGGACAATAAATGACCAAATAAACATTGAATAGCAGTGGGCATGCGCAGTCTGGAAAAAAAATTACGGGGGCGTGGGTGGCACGTGGGGAGTTTCATGTTATTTTCTATGGGGTGGCCAGGCAAAGCCTCACTAGTAAAGTGATATGTGAACAAAAACTTGAAGGAGGTGAGGGAGCAGGCATTGTGGAGAACATGCTTGACAGTGTTAGCTGATGGCACAGAGGCTGGTATGGCTGGTGGGGAAACAGGAGATGGGGAGCAGGTAGGAGATGGGAGGAGTGAGGGTCATAACTCTTCCGGTGGCAAGAATCATTCACTGGGTGCCTGGGGATGAGGGTTAGGCAGGACATCACCACCCTCTCTCTCTGTCTCTGACTCACTTCCACCTCCTAGTGAAATAACCTAACACAATGCCAGGCAGATTGGAGACCTTTTTTTGCATACAGGAATACATAAATATTAGTATAGTTATTGAGGGTTTCCTATACCCAGGCAACATGCTAATTTTCTCCTCACACCAACACTGTGAGCTAGATGCTACTATGATTCCCATTTTACAGATCCAGAAATTAAAACTCAAAGAGGCCAAATCACTTGACCTGGCACACAGCCAGGAAGTGGAGGTGCAGAGGGTGGGTTTCCGTGAGAGGGAACATCCTCGGTTGGCAGCCAGAGCGCAGTCATCGCAGGAGGCTTGCTGCCATTGCCGCTGCACCTCATTTGCTGTATCCTGGGGTCCCAGCAGGTTGGCTGTTCACACTGCAGCCTGGCTGGCAACGCCCCCTTCCCTGGGAAGGGCCAGCCTCCACCTGCACTCCCCAGACCAGAGCATAGGACGAGTCCCTCGGGGTGGGTCAGCCCCAGCCAAGTGCCCAAGCTGCCAGGCTTCAGGAGGCACCTCAGCTGTCCCTCCTCATCCAGACACTTCCCTTGTATTGGTGGCTGCCTTTTCCCTCCCAAAAGTATGGCCCCTAATGTTTCAGGAAACTCTGAGCCCAACCTCAACAAGGACTCCAGTGTCTATTTAGAAAATTACTCTCATCCTTATTTCCTCTTTCCTTGGCATCTGTGATACTTTCTCATAGCAACAGGTGTCTCCTGCGAGCTTGTGAACTGAGGAGCAAATGATATCATACTTGTCATTATCAAAAAGCCATTAACACAAAATCATTCAGTAAACCCCAGGGTTGACCAAGGAAGGGAATGAGGCAAAAGTCACACACGGTTCCCACCTCTAAAAATGTCTGTAGTTCTCTTGTGGACTCCGTTCAAGTAGGCAAACATTTCCGGAGCACCATCCCGTCCAGGCCCTGGGGCGGGAGGTGGGAAGGATGCATGAGGAATCAGGAGGCAGATGGGTCCTTGCCTGCAGCCCCCCAGGCATGTACAACCTGTGGGGAGGAGGGACAGCAGCACGCCCTGATCACCATCACAGAGGTGGACTTCTGATTTGTCAAAAAGAGAGTTTCTCCAGAGGAAGCAATCAGATGTGAAGACAAATTCACCCAGTCCGACACTGATCTAAGCAGCCTCTGACTTGTTGCCGAGGTGTTGGGGTACACCAAGAAGGAGCAGCTGGAGAGCCCGTCTAGACAACAGCCGGGCCTCTAATGACAGATATGAGAGACCAGACATGAGGCCTATGAGCATTTGAGCACGCAGTCTCAGCTGCATCTTTCTGGAGGAGTTTAAATTTGAATAAAGGTGCACAGCTAGCATCCACTGGCAGACAGGGCGTACACACCCCTACGGGGGGCATCGACGTGTCATGCCCGTGTATAATCTCCTCCCATTGGGTGTGAGTGGAACCTGTGCTTCTAGCCAACAGAACCTGGCAAAGGCGAGACAGGATGTCACACCTGTGACTACATTACGATGTGTATAAGGGTCCATCTTGCTAGCCCAGAGAGATTTCCTGCTGGTCTTGGAAAAGCCATATTGTAACTGCCCCTAGAGAGAGCCACATGGCAGGGAACTGTGGGCGGTTTTTAGGACCTGAGAGTGGCCTCCAGCCAACAGTCATTGAGAAGCCAAGATAACTCAGTCCTAGAACCACAAGGAAATGGATTTGGCCAACAACCACAAGAGCCTGATAGAGGACTCTGAACTCCACAAGGGAATGCAGCCTTGTGAGACCCTGAGCAGAGGATCCAGCTAAGCTGTGCCTGGACTCCTGACCCACAGAAACTGTGAACTAACAAACGTGTGTTGTTTTAAGCCACTAAATTTGTGGTAACTTATCATGAAGCAATACAAGGTGAATACAACTTTGTTCATTCACAAAATGAATAGAGGGCTTCCCTGGTGGCGCAGTGGTTGGGAGTCTGCCTGCTGCTGCAGGGGACATGGGTTCGAGCCCTGGTCTGGGAAGATCCCACATGCCGCAGAGCAACTAGGCCCGTGAGCCATAACTACTGAGCCTGCGCGTCTGGAGCCTGTGCTCCGCAACAGGAGAGGCCGCGATGGTGAGAGGCCCGCGCACTGCAATGAGGAGTGGCCCCCGCTCGCCGCAACTAGAGAGGGCCCTCGCACAGAAACGAAGACCCAACGCAGCCAAAAATAAAATAAATAAATAAATAAAAAGCCAAGCATTTGAAGCCATTTAAAAAAAAAAAAATGAATAGACCATTGACTGCAAGGTCAGATCCCTTCCTAGGGAGTCTTCTTATGGTTATGAAAGTATTGATGCCATAAGAGTCCATGAGAGCAGGTTGGAATGGTTCCACAGAAACCGTGCCGATGAACACCAATCCACCAGCTCCGCCAGGGTGTGTGAAGGCCACACAATTCTGGACAGAAAAGATGGCCTCTCTGTCCTCAACCTCGCTATGGCCGTCATCAAAGAAAAGACTGAGGGGGGACTTCCCTAGTGGCACAGTGGTTAAGGATCTGCCTGCCAATGCAGGGGACACGGGTTTGATCCCTGGTCCGGGAAGATCCCACATGCCACGGAGCAACTAAGCCCGTGTGCCACAACTACTGAGCCTGCGCTCTAGAGTCCGTGCTGCGCAACAAGAGAAGCCACCGCAATGAGAAGCCCGTGCACCACAATGAAGAGTAGCCCACGCTCGCCGCAACTAGAGAAAAGCCCGCACGCAGCAACGAAGACCCAACGCAGCCATAAATAAATAAGTAAATAAATAAATTAATTAATAGATTAATTAATTTTTAAAAAGACTGAGGGAAGAGGGGAGGCCTTCAATGTTCCAGCAAAGGCCAAGAGGCCACAGGCACAGCTGAGATTGAACTTGGAGGGCAACCGGCGGGGCTTGAAAGATGAAATGCAGAAGTAGAGGGAGATCACAGTGAAGGGGAAGTGAAAACAAACGCTGAAGACTGACTTTGTTGGACACGTAGTCTAATTTCAGGAACACAAAGCAGCCCTGATTGCTCTAGATACCCTGGACTTTAATGACTCCCACGATTGAAATTTCAAAGCTGGGTTTTAAAAAAGTACTTAAACCTCCCAACAGACCAGAATGTGAATGCCCTCTGCAAGATCAGCTGCGTTCACACAGTGGCTCCAATTCATTGAGCAGTTAAGGGAGTAACCTAGTTTCACTAAAAACTAAAATATTTAACTGGAAACATCATAAAATCAGGCCTTGGATGTCTCAAGACTGGCACCACTTTGTAGCTCAATGCCTACGTGAGATTTAATAGGGGCATCCAGAGCACAGAGTCCCAATCTTTCAATATAAAGTAGTTTATACAAGCCCATCTTAACTATATTTCTGGAATATTAAAGAAATAATAATTGGTTCAACTTCCAGCTCAAACTGACTAACAAGACACATGCATTTATTGTCTCTTATGGGTTGGGTTCATCAGAAAGCTGACTCTAAAACAGAGTTAAGTGTGCAGGATGTTTATTAGGGAGTGCCTTTAGGAGAAATACCTGTGGAAAGGGTGGGAAGGGCGTAAGAATGGACAGAAAGAGCAGTCGAGCGGTGCTACAGGCCTTGGCAACCCCACGGGGCAGTCTACAGCTGGAATAGGCCTTCAGAGTTGTCTCGAGTTAGGCCGAGATGGCCAGGTATTTGTACATCACCTGGATAAGTCACTGAATGTGGCTACCCTTGGAGGGCTGTGATCTTGGGCAAAGTGGCTCTCTGCAGCTGAGGCAAGCCCTGAAGGGGTAGATGGCCCTAAAGGACTGCCCTCTCAGCCACTGGGGCAAGAAGGTCTTCATTGAGAGGGGGCTTAAGTGGCACATCTCTGTGTTCACATCTCTTCTGCCCTTTGAAATCATCATGAAGGAACAAAAATAATATAACCTGACAGCAAGATAGGATGGGAGAAGATGCTCAAATTCAATTGTTATTAGGGAAACTGTACATCAAAACCACAGTGAAGGTAGCACTTTACACCCACTAGACTGATTAATATCAAAAAACTAAAAATAACAAGCATGGGTGAGGATGTGGAGAAATCGGAACCCTTATACCTTTGCTCT